GCTGCACCGTACCCGTATTATACCCGTGTGCCCCGCGCATCGTGCTGCACCGTACCCGTATTATACCCGTGTGCCCCGCGCATCGTGCTGCACCGTACCCGTATTATACCCGTGTGTGCCCCGCGCATCGTGCTGCACCGTACCCGTATTATACCCGTGTGTGCCCCGCGCATCGTGCTGACCAAAAACACAGCCGCCGGAGGAGGTCATGACTACATGTTGGGGATTTGAGCAGCACCATGGCGGACACACGAGGAGCCCATTGGGGGGTTCACTTCTGGGAATGGTGAAAACTGTGGCCCTCAGCCCTCCAGAGGGGCCCCTGGACAGGATCCATCCTTCCACTGAGAACATTGTGTGCCGCCGAATTCTGATCCTCGTCCTTCCCGCAGCCCACCGTGCCCACTTCCTGGCAGGAGAAATGTGATCGGGGTGGGGGAGGGATTTATGCGCACAGCGCCGTGTATATCGCCGTGTACAGCGTCGCGCGTTTCCATGGCTCCCGGTGAGGACCAGACTCAGACTCATTGGGAAGGAAAACAAACATTTCCCGGGCTCGGGAAGACAATACCGGCGGTCTGGGATGCGTGCGCTCACAAAGGACGCAGCTGCGCGGCGCCGCGTCCCTCCGCATCGGAAAGTTGCGGATTTAATTACAGTCATTAGGAGACGGGAGCAATAATTACCTCCTCGCAGAGACAACGAGCATCTGTTCACCCGCCTGAGGGGAGACGCTTCCCGCACATCATCCTCCATGTTCCATCGTGGGGGGTCACACCGCAAGAGGCGCTGAGAACATGACACACGTGTGTAGCGTGACCCCGGACATCACATACGTCTTCCTGTGATTCCATCCGCGGTGTTCAGTGTCATAGGGGGGCCTGAAGACACGCAAGTCCCGTGTCTCACATTCATCACGTGTGGCCGAGTAATCAGCAGTGGAAAATGAAGATCTTTCTCCCTCTCTGACCCGATAGCGGCAATCGGCGCGGAACACCCGGAGGACGCCGGTCAGAGACATGCAGGACTGTGCCGGAGAACGGGGGAGGTGTATACAGGTGCCGGATCTCATACCTGAGGGGCGCTAACCCAGCACGCAGATCCACATAATGCCTACACATCGTCACTGTGACAGCCATAAGCCCCACCCCTTCAGATACAGCTCCGCCCCTTTTACCATATCACATCATGCAGAGCCCAGAGCATTGGAATGACACTCATCAGGGGAAAGGGAACCATTGATCCCGCCATTCATCATCTTTCCTGTTGACATAGGGTGACAACGCTCTGTCCTTGTTCGAGCACTTCCTGTTATAGGGTGACAACGCTCGGTCCTTGTTCGAGCACTTCCTGTTATAGGGTGACAATGCTCTGTCCTTGTTCAGTCACTTCCTGTTATAGGGTGACAACGCTCTCTCCTTGTTCAGACACTTCCTGTTATAGGGTGACAACGCTCGGTCCTTGTTCGAGCACTTCCTGTTATAGGGTGACAACGCTCTCTCCTTGTTCAGACACTTCCTGTTATAGGGTGACAACGCTCTGTCCTTGTTCAGACACTTCCTGTTATAGAGTGACAACGCTCTGTCCTTGTTCAGACACTTCCTGTTATAGAGTGACAACGCTCTTTCCTTGTTCAGACACGTCCTGTTATAGGGTGACAACGCTCTGGCCTGTCTCCCAATTGTTCTTTGCATTGTCACCTTGTCATACCGGCCTCTGATGGAGACTGCATGCGGTCGCTTCAACAGTGGCTGCTAAGAGGCTGCAGGAGATCAGCAGCACTGAGATAGGAAAAGGGTGAAAAAATAAGTATTTTAGCTTAAAAATGAGGATTGTATGTCATACGGAGAGAAGACTAATCACTTCCTGTTATAGGGTGACAACGCTCGGTCCTTGTTCGAGCACTTCCTGTTATAGGGTGACAATGCTCTGTCCTTGTTCAGGCACTTCCTGTTACAGGGTGACAACGCTCTCTCCTTGTTCAGACACTTCCTGTTATAGGGTGACAACGCTCGGTCCTTGTTCGAGCACTTCCTGTTATAGGGTGACAATGCTCTGTCCTTGTTCAGGCACTTCCTGTTATAGGGTGACAACGCTCTCTCCTTGTTCAGACACTTCCTGTTATAGGGTGACAACGCTCGGTCCTTGTTCGAGCACTTCCTGTTATAGGGTGACAACGCTCTCTCCTTGTTCAGACACTTCCTGTTATAGGGTGACAACGCTCTGTCCTTGTTCAGACACTTCCTGTTATAGAGTGACAACGCTCTGTCCTTGTTCAGACACTTCCTGTTATAGAGTGACAACGCTCTTTCCTTGTTCAGACACGTCCTGTTATAGGGTGACAACGCTCTGGCCTGTCTCCCAATTGTTCTTTGCATTGTCACCTTGTCATACCGGCCTCTGATGGAGACTGCATGCGGTCGCTTCAACAGTGGCTGCTAAGAGGCTGCAGGAGATCAGCAGCACTGAGATAGGAAAAGGGTGAAAAAATAAGTATTTTAGCTTAAAAATGAGGATTGTATGTCATACGGAGAGAAGACTAAACGTCGTCCAATGAGGTACAGGGGGGTGGAGGTCGGTCCCCATCGATACAACACCGGTGGAATCATCCAGACACAGGAGACACGAGCGGCCATATCATCAGGTGCCGGCTATGGCTCTTGGTGCACCGGGGACCTGGCTCCAGATTTAATATGGCCGAATCTGAAGATTTTGCATCCTCCGCGCACCCGTCCCGGAAAGCCCT